GCTAAAATGGGTGCAGCCATGGTGAAGCAGGGCTCACAGTGAAGAAAAGGTGACTTTGCAGCCTAGCTTTGTCCCAGCTGCCTGCTCTGAAGGTAGGACCTGGATCTGGCTACTCCAATTAGCTCCAGTTTACATGCAAATTAGGTAAGATGTGCATAAAGAGCATGGCAAGCAGTGCATCAGGCTGAAAGTCATGGAAGACGTCTGTATATTCTCACAGATCTTATCCAGGTATGCCAAACCCATGCACATTTGCTATGTGGGCTGCTGTCAGGTCTCTCCTCCAAAGACTGCTGAACTTCTCTGCCTTGTGGTCTGCCTTTAGGGTGTCATCAAGCCAACATATGGGTTTAGTGCTTCCTCAAAACTGATTCCTTACTGCGGTAGCAATTCTTCCAGCTTTGTACCTTGGGGGACTGTGCAGACCTGAATGAAAACATCTGCTTTCCTTTTGAGAAGGCAATCAATATAGATGAAGACCAAGACCCTGAAGACACCTCATTTCTCAGTTTCATTTTTATTTCATTGTGACTTTGACTCCTAAATCCTTTGAATGCTGAGGGCCCAAGTGACCTGGCTAGATAACACCCTGAGGCTACCTCAGCCCGGCATTTCCTCTAGAAAACAAAGCTCATTTAAAACAAAACCCCATTAGTCTTGGCAGGAAGCTTGAATTGTCACTGTTTCAAGGAAGCTCCATTAATTACTGTTCCCACTGCACTATGAAAGATCAAATGCTGAGGATCGTTTTTAATTGGCTATTGATTTCTTATGTTATTACCTATGGTTGTGCTGAGATGCTGTCAGATGTACTGGATGCTTTTGATTATTCCTTCTGGCAGCTGGGATTAAAAACAGCAGGCAGACATTTCCTGATCTGTAATGGATTGCCATGGTGTGCCAACAAGAATCGTCAGCTGGATGAATGGTCCTGCTCTGCCTATCTTGTGCTGCTGAGCTGCAGTGCAGTTTTGAAGGCAAATACCATCAGGGACCAGGCAGGGAAAGAGCAGGAAAAGCTTCAAAGAGCACAAGGATTTACTGCTTTCAGAAGTGCACTGCTGTCAGCACCAAGGCAGGGTGAGCCAGGGAGCAGGGACTTGGGCACGGACAAAGCAGAAGTGCCCATTAGTCATTGATCCAAGGAGAGGCAGATCAGATTACTTTTGCATTGCTGGGGATAACCCCCAGCACAGCAACCTCAGAGACGTGTGATCCCAAGCAGGCCAGCATACACAAACCATACCGACACAGGCCTGCACACACAGCCTGCTAATGGCCCCCCTGGGACATGCTTCTCTCTCAGAGCCCATCTGGGGATGCCTGAGCCTACTCTGTGACATGCTCTCATTAGCTGGCAGAGTTCCTCCTTATTTAACAGGAGATGCTTTCCTGTCCTCCTGACCCCAAATGACACCTTGTTCTACAAATGTCAACTTCCCCTAATTGCACTTTGACAGAGGGAGAGGCAAACACTTCCTTCCCCCTCCAAGGACTGTCATTTAATTAACAGGCAGGTATCTCTCAGGATTTACAGCCCAGATCTGAGTTGCTACTCTCTCTACTCAGTAACTGAGGCCTGTGAAAGCTCATTCAATTTATCTGTGTGTTTTGATAACCATATTTCTGCTAATCTCTTGCTATGCCAGCTTCCTGGATTTACCTCTCACGGACCATGGAGAGAGCAGTTAATCAAATGAACAGTCCCCGTCTCAGTTCTCATTCCCTTCCTGGTTCCTGATCTCAGACGTCTGTGTTGTAGACGACTTCATAGCAGAGCAATACCTATGCTGGCACCATCACCAGTTTCTAGTATAATCCAACTCTCATATCTGTTCTACAGACATGACCAGAGATAGCACAGATGAAAGAGAGATCAGAATCAAAGACATCGAGGCTGGCTGGATATCAAGAAGCATTTAATTTGTTCCTCCTTCACAAACTAGGATCATCTCTCTGCAACCTGTTCTTGACATATGCTTCCTAACAGGTTCTTAAAAAAAATCCAGTACAGGAGGTTCCCACAAATCCCAAGCAATCTTTTCCAGTGCTTCTTGCCCTCCTGTTAGATGTCTGAGAGCAAGGGGGAGAACAGTGCTGAGAGGCCATACCATCTGTCCTGCTGGTCATGAGGAACAGACTGGTTTTACTTTGGTTGTGGCTTTTGTTTTCATCATGGGTGAAGAGGTAGATAATGGTTCCTGTCCCTTCCAACTGTTTTTGTGGGTCATGCTAGGATCTAGAAAATTCCAAAGAAAACTAGTATATTACTGAAGGTTAGTGGCTGAGGGATCAAATCCAGACCCCTGGATTTTGTTCCATGGATCAATAGTCTCGGAGTAAACAGACGTATTTGGAGAGTTCAGCTTGGAGATGATCTGACCATATCAGAACAAATGAGGATAACAACAACCAAATGTTCTGTGCTGAGGGAGCTCTATGTGCAAGAAAGTACTCATGCCCTCACCTTTGACTCCACACTGGGAAGATCAATGCTGCCGTGGGATTGCCCATGCAAATTGCCACCTAAATCCCTTACTGACTTGGTAGAGAGATCACACAAAACAGCTGGGCAGTTGCTGACTGCCTGTCTGATTTTAGTAACACCTCTGCAGAGTTGGTGACTTCTCCAACACTGAGACTCCACAGTTCCAGGGGATGTGTCCTGCTGAGCACCTCCAGTGACAGGGTATATAAACCAGCCTCCTGGACGAGAGTCACCCATTGGATACCCAATGGATGTGAGATGTCCAAGTGCAACTGAAGTGCAAAGTGGCAGGAGCTACAGAGGAGCCCTGTTTCAGCACATCTGCTCTTCAGTAAGTACCTTGTCTTTCAAACCTCTGCTCTGCTAGTGAAAGAAAATCTTGGGGGTCAAGCTGATGGTAGAAACAACTGGAATTCATACACTTACTGTAGGACCTATGGTATCATAATTTGCTAGCTATGGCTGCCCAGCCTTTGTACAAAAAAAATGTACAGACAGCATCTTACATTAGCTGGAAAAAACAAGTGTGGTAGAACTGAGTGCACCTAATGTCCTGCCCTTTCCCCATGACTGAGCATTTCTTAGTTCCTAAATTTTTCCTACCCACCCACAGGCTAGGTAACAAAAGAGGAAAAGGGCTCTTCTGCAGAGGAGGAGACACTGAATTGCACAGACAACACTCCAGTATTTCAAGATCCATTGCCACTGTAATTATCCATGTGAGGTTTTATCCTGAACTTGCAGAAGTGAACTAAAACACAGGGGCAAATAACAAGAGGCTTTGGGCCATGCTGGCAGTCAGGAGCAAAAGTTTCTATCTCCAGAGCTGCCTTTGACCACTTGTGATCAGAAGACCCTACATGAGACAGCAAGGTTTGCAAGAAGGTTGAAGAGAGGGGGGAAAAGCTGTTCAGCAGTGAGGAACTCACTTCAAGGCTTCTAGGGAGACATTGCTGCATCCATCACAGTTGCACAAAGTTATAATGAATGAGGAATTCACCTCAGTTGTGGTGTTCATTGAATGGGTTGGGTTGAAAGGGACCTTAAAGATCATCTTACTCCAAGCTGCTGCCTTGGGCAGGGACACCTCCCACTACTCCAGGTAGCCCAGAGCCCTGTACAGTGTGGCCTTGAATATTCCCAGGAGCTGGGCACCCACAGCTTTGCTGGGCAACCTGCTCCTGTGCCTCACCACCCTCACAGTAAAGCATTTCTTGCTAATATCTAACCCTACTCTCTTTCAAATTAAAGCCATGACCCGTGTCTCATCACTACATGCCCTTGCCCTAAGTCTCTCTCTAGCTCTCTTGTAGGCACCTTTACATACTGGAAAGCTGTATCCCCAGAACCTTCTCTTCTCCAGGCTGAACAACCCCAACACTCTCAGCTTGTGTTCACAGGAAAGAACTCCCTTAGATCAGTCCCTTCCCCTGGCCTGACCTGGCCTTGCCTCTCAGTGGGAACAGACCAGCCTTCTGGCTAGTGCTAGTGCAGTCCCCTGAAATCTGCAGGGCTGAGGAGAAGTCACTCAGAAAAGAGAGATGACCACATCAACAGTCAGGGAGTCACAGCTCCTGCGGAAGATCTCATTTGTCACTGAGTTTGATCTGGGCAGGGGAGGAGAAGGTGGGGAGGCGAGTGAACACACACTCTTGGCTAGTACTGAGCACGGCTCATTTCCACTGCTGAGCTGGGAGAAGCAGCAACAGCAACAGCTGGGATTGCAAAGAACAAAAATACACTACACAATCAAGTTTTACACTGCAGGGTGGCAGGGACAGAGGGCTGGCAGCATGCACATATTATGAGGTTTTCTACAGGAATGGAGACAGAGCTCACGTGCTCCAGAACATCCCCTCTTCTGGATAATCATGGGTGGGCTCCTGGCAGCACGGGCAGACGTGCTGCACACAGCCCAAGTGAAGCCAGTGCTGGGCGGTTGCTGAGTGCCGGGCAAGAAAACCCACGTACAGACATGTTACCTCACTGCATCTGTAATGCTTCCCACTGGCTTTTGAGCTTGTGGGAAAGCCAGCATGCCTGGCACCCCAGGACTGCCAGCTGTGCAGGGAGGAACATGAGACGGGGATACCCCAAGTCATGACTCTGAAATGTTCCTGGGAATGGGATGTCTGCTTGTTCTTTGGCTGGGAAAAAAAAAAAAATCAAAGCTCCCAGCTTAGGGCATTATGCTTAGTAGTGACATCAGTAGAGATGGAAATAAATTTATTTCCCCTTAGAGAAAAATAAAAAAACCCTGCCTCCCCCACTTCTTGCTCTGAAGAGACATCTGTTTTTCTCTGGTGTTTTTGCTGGTCCCTCTGCCATCCCAGCCAAGGAAACATTCTGGGGCCACCTAGATGAGCTGAGACAACAGTGAAAACGGGTCATAAAAGCACAGAGGAGGAAAATCTGTGGACACTCAATCCAAGCCAAACTGTATGGGCTGGCTCCCCACTCCTCTCCACAGGTGAGTGAGCAGGCGGCCACACTGTGAGATACGATCACCCACCTATACAGACAATGTCCATGAAGCCGTACATTCCATAGCAGATCTGGAAGAGCAGGTCCTGGCGCTGCCACTTGGCTGAAGGACTGAAGGTCGACCAGATGAGCCACGAGATACTGGCGATGAGGAAGAGGGAACCCAGGATGGCCGCTGCTATCTGAACCTTCTCAATGACCGTCAGAGAGATGGCCTGCCACTGTACAGGGGGTGACAAGAGGAAGGGAGGAAGGACAAAAGAGATTAGTTACTTGGAGCACATCACCATTTAAAACCGTTATAGTGGCTTTGGAGATCTCAAAGAGCACCTATGGTTTTTACCCTGTCCACATCTGGGATGGAGCATGGCAGCTGTTCCATAGTGCATGGCCTTGGGTTTCTTGACAGCACTGCCAAAGAGGCAATGGAAAGGAATCCTGCATCTCACCAGGAAAGCACAGCGACCTGAGTGAGGCAGGACAGATGAGGGCAAGACACCAAAAATAACATCACCGTGACAGTAGATCTCTGATGGCCATCACAAACCAGTTCAGTTGCTCCTTCAAATAGAGGCCAGGCAACATCCTCAGCCCAGGACATCCTCAGCCAGTACCATAAGAATAAGTATCTCAAAGAACCAAGCTTTCTTTTGAAGGCCTCACATGAGCTGGCTCCGTGCCACTTTGTAAGATCTTACATGATCATAGCTCTAGGTAGGATCTCACAGTAGCAATGCACATCCCACAGAACTTGCTACAAACACAAGTTGTTGTGGTCAGGACACCCTGCCTTTAGATGATGACATATTCAGGCTGTGTTCCAAGGTAAACATCAATGCTTCTTCCTCAGAAAAAGAAAAAAGTGGAAATAACTCCTCCAAATCCATTCACTTTGTCAAATAGCTTTGTATAAGCTACATTATAAATATCCCAAGTCCTGACTCCTCGTTGTCATCCAGCATAAAATCTCCTCACTCAGATTTACACTGCTGAGACAACCGTCCTATAAAACCAAGAGCAGAAATTGGTGTCTTTAACAAGACTTGGGGACGTGGTCCATAGCGTCTCCTGCAAATCAAAAATCAAGTGTGTAAACAGGCTGAGGAGAGACAGTCTCTCCTGGCATCGAAGTATATAGGCCACCTCTAGATGTGAGATACATGCCCTTGAAATCACAGTGGGACTGGCAGGAGGATAAACAAAGATGGACTTCAACCTCCTGAAGATACAGAGGATTCAGAGGAGTTGAAAATCTTTAGCTTAGATTCAGTCCAAATTCAGTGTCCCTATGAAATGACAGTCTTGTGAGATCTCAGTACCCTGGATGTTTGTCAAACACAGCCTAGGACAGCAAGATCACCCAGCAAGCCTTGTCCCATCCTTCTGCAGTGCAAGAAAGGAATTCAAGTACTTAAATGCCCAGGCCAGCCAGGAGTCAGCAATGTTTTTTGCAACAGCTTTTGAACCCCGACTGAAGTGTGAGAAGGACAAGAAGTGACTTGTGCTGGTACAGGCATGCATGGCACTATTACCAGACCAGTGAACTACTCCCCTAAAAAGGGCTGCATTTGGAGAGGAACAAACTAGAGCTTCAGCTGGAGGCTGAGGTCTGTGGGTTGCAACTGAAGGAGATTCCTCTGCCTCTGCCAGCCTTGCTCCTTGGCTTACATCCTGCAAGGGCAGACAGCCCTCAAATTGTCTGCCATGGATGTGCAGCATCATGAGGTGGGTGGTACCAGCTTATTTGGTAGTCAGCCACAGAAATGGCCACAGAGCTGCTGAGCAGAGAGAGCGCTTGTTCCCTACTGAAGCAGGACTGGGCTCAGCTAAATCCAGTCTCCTCCCTGGGCTCAGATACTCCAGACCCCTTCTTGCCATCTGCCCCAGCAGCTGACCCAGCCAAAGACAAACACTTAGCACTGAGGACACTCAGTAATCTTTTCAACAGCCCATTCCCCATTCTGCCACAGCCCGACCTGCTCCATGCCTCTGCCAAATCCAGCCACACATTTCATCTGGCCCCTTTGTGCCACTGAGAAGGTCACACACTGAACAGCCTGGAAGTCCCAATGCTGCAGGGGTGCTGGAGTCCACAGGAAGGGCACAATGGCGCAACTCCTCTCCTGACATAAAGTAGAGCAAAGGCCACCCAGCACCCATCACAGATGGGTGGCTTCTGGGCTTCTGGCTTCTGAGGATGGGATAAGCAGCTCTGCCATCCTCCCATCAGCTTGCCAGCATTGTTCTCAATACCATAAGCCAACGCAGAACAAATTTGCAAGTAATGCTATTAGCCCAGAGCTCCAGGACTAAATTCATGTGGTGGGGAGGGAGCTTGGCTATGTGCATGGGGTTGCAGTTTCACCCCTGCAGCTTTCCCCAGACCTCACCTCCCCTTCTGTGGCCTGTGGCTAACTCGGAGGGAGTGCTGGGAGCACAGCCTGGTGCTGCATGAGAAGGCTTTACTGCGGGCCCCTCACACCAGCCCGCGTGCGCCCGTGCCAGCCAAATCATTCTGCATCATTTCTCTCTCTTGAGGAGGTAATGGACTGGCTCCTCACCATCTGCCTGGCACACTGCAAGGCCTCTGGTAGCAACAGGTCCTTCCAAGGTAGCAATTAGAGACAAAGGGAAGAGAAGAAGGAACTGTTTTCTACAACCAGAAGCCATGTACAACCAACACCATGGCTTTGCAGAGAAAGGGAGGCTTCAGTGTAGCATTAAATACATTGTCAAAGGGAATGGGGTTCAGAGAACAGATGAGTTACACCTGAGTGCAAACCTCAAACCCTGCTCCCCTTGGCTGGGAACGGAGAGGCTGAAACACTGGCAGGGACAGTGCCTGATGCTGCTCAGCTGGCAGCGGCTGCTGGGAAGTTCACTGTGGTGATAATGAAGAGCCTGGAGTCTGTCAGCTGTGCCAGGGGGTAGGAGGCTCTCCCCCTGCATCTGTGACAGTGTGACAGTGACACACACAGCAGCAGTCTTGACTCTGTTCAGAAGGTGGCACTGGGGTGTGATTACCCTCTGGCAAGGAGGTAAATGGGTCAAAGCTGAACACTGGGGAAAACAGCCAGCTTGCAGAATACTTTAATATTTTCCAGTTAAAAAAAAAAAAAAAAGTAAGTAATAAATGTTGTATTTTCTCTCTGGCAACCCTGAGAACTGCAATTTAGTGTCCCACATCTACCTTGAGCCACTAATAACAAGAGTAATTATTTTTCTTCTTTGAATTCCATTTTGCTACAAATCTTAGTGTATGAGATGGAAGATCTTAGTATGAGACAGAAGATAAAGCCTGTTACCCCCATGAGTGCTCAGACAGAAAGGCCCAACAGCTCTTCAGAGGTAGAATGTGCTGATGAATTTCAGCTGTAGGAGCTGGGCTTGATGTGTCCCTGCACTGTCAGCCTTAGGAGCTCACCTCAATCACAGCACCATGTCTTTCAGATTTCATAACAGCCCTTAGAAAATCACCCCTTTTCCTAAGCCCTCTCCACCCTCATTATGGCCATCAGACCAGGGATTTGGCAGGTGACCCTATCATCCCTGGGTCACCACTAGAGCTGCAAAGAGAGGTCTCAGCAGCTCTGGAGTCCCTTTACTGCCACATCTGAAACCCACAAAGCTCTTTGAATGCCTGGCAGCAGACGCAGCCTCCTCCCTCCAAATCTCCAGCTCAAATGTTCAATATCTACCAAGATCACAGTGTCAAGCAATCCCAGCTTGTGAGGAGAGACCTAAAGCTGAGCCCTTCTTCCCTCAGTTGATAATGACTCGAGCTCCTGGTAGCCACTCAGCTGCACTGAAGTGCACCTATAACAACTCAGCTCACCCAGGCTGTCAGTCAGGGACATGACCTTTAGGCAAGTAGAAAGCTCTACAGATGCTCTGCCAGTGCTGAACAGGGCAGAACTAAGGACTTGGTGGTACCAGAAAGCTTTAAAGGCTCCATACAGGATAACAGGATCAGCTTTGTGAGCTCCAGACTCAAATGGCTTCAGAGCATGCCCAAACAGCTTTCTGTGATGGTCTGCCACCCGCACTGAAATAGTGCTCCAACCCTCCAAACCATCCTGGAGAAGCTGTCTGTCTCTCTGTCCTCTGCTACCATCCCCCCTGGGACAAGCGCTTTGGCACATCACCCATGCCTGCAGGTGCAAAACACTACTCTTTCTCAGACCAATTTTCCCAAGTTTCCCCATTTTGCCCAAACTGAAAAGCTCTACAAACCAGATACCTCAGAAAGAGCTTCTTAGGAGCTCACTTCTGACATTTGTGATGACTTTAGTCAGGGTCCAAGCTGGGACTGGTGCCTTCAAGTCATGTCACTCCCTGTCTCACACTGTTCCATAACCTGCAAGTTGTACTTGAGACAAATCTGTTTCCCTGTTTGCTTCAGTGCTTCTGCTTAAAGGCTTGTAAGTGAAAACCTGCTAATGCAACACAGATAAATAATGTCGTCACTATTTAAGGCCTGATCTGTATTTCCCTTTCTTTGGCACTTGCAGTCTACAAAGGCTCCCAAGCACCAGCATGAGCATATGCAAGGCAGATACTGCTTGCAGAAGATGTCTATGTCTTTGCAGCAGCTTGCAAAGAAGTCTCGTTTGCTGGAAAAGCCTTCCTGCACTCCCCTGAGAACTCCTCCATGCCTGCCTCAGGCAGTTCAGTTTATTTTTATTGCTGTATCTGACACATCCCCTTAATACACATCATTAACATCCAGAGCTGTGCTAGTCAGCAATTTAATTCTCAGACCCAGGGTCACAAGCAAGAGGAGGTTTTTCCTAGAAGGTTGGAGAGGATCATTTGTAGCACTGCTTAGGTGTGGCTCTTCCCTTGCTGCTGTCCCAAGATCCTGGCCATCCTCCTCAACTATGTTCTGGAGGATGGATACTTCTTCATAAATTCACCAAGCAAAATTAAGCCACTGTTGTGGCATAGCTTCCCTGCTGTACACTTATGGATGCTGTGGCTTATTCAGATACTAGAAAAGCAGCAAGGAAGAGGGGGAGTGGGGCCAAGTAATGAAAATGGGCAATGGTAAAAACCTCCCTTCTCCATGTGCCAGAGCATCTGGTAAGACTCAGGCTACAGCACCGGTAGCATCCTGGAAAATTCCCATTATAATGCACAGGCCCCAAAGTCTCTCTTGCAGTGACTGCACCCATTGCTTGCAGCCTTCAGCTGAAGCTCAGCAGGGACCAGCAAAGCTCATGCTTAACACAACTGATTCAGCAGGCTGGGACAATCAGGAGACATCAGTAAACTTGCCTCAAGCTTTTTAACTCAGGATCTCAGGCTGAAGTTCAAATACCCTGTGAGCTCAGCCATTCTTGCAGATGTGTCCTGATGAAGAGGCCATATAAGAGCACTCATCAGCTCCTAAAAGATCATCACCACGGACAAAATGGAGACAGAGGAGACCAGACCATTTCCCAACCCCAGCACTGGATAACTGGGGATCTTTGGAGCTGAAACAGCCCGCAATGCAGGAAGAGTCAGAGATAACAGTATGTCAGAACTGAACTCCTCAAAACTGCAGACAGTTGTTGGGAAGGCTGGTTCAAACAGATTTTCTCTCTGCTAACATCAGAGTGGATGTGGCTCAAGAGTGACTACAAAGGAGCTGTATAGATTAAATACACATCAGAGGCCCATCGAGGCAGATACCTACTCCACTGTGTATCAGCACCAGGGTGCAGGCAGTACTATCACGTGCTTCTAAACCCCTGTGTCTTCAGGGTCTTTTTAAAATCATAGGCTTTACACAAGTATTGCCATGGAGGGAGGCATTTAAACCCTCCAAGCCCGTGATTCCTGTCTTGGTGACTGGCAAACCGGAGAGCAGGAAGGTGGATGGATGGATGGATGGATGGATGGATGGATGGATGGATGGATGGACAAAGCTCTGGATTTCCTGGTTGCTCACAGCTGATGGAATATTTTTTCTCATTTGTTGCCCGACTGCTGCTTGGCAGGACACCTGCTATGTTCTCCAACAACTTTAATCTCCCAGTCTGAGCAGGTTAGCAGTGTTGCTGCTTTAAGACCCTTGCTCTTAAATGCCTGCAATCCAGGGAATGGGGTGGGTTAATTTGTAGAGATTAATTCTGCCAAAATAGCAGACTAAAGGTCTCTCTCTGGTATGAAACATCATAATAGCCTGGAGGCTAGAAGGAGCCTGTGTTAATTATGCATGAACCCGGCTGTAACTTCTCTACCCACACCATGAGTCTCCAGACACATCTGGCCCATGCTGTGCTTCTGAGCACTCCAAAAAATGTGCAGCAGATGTCAAAGTGGGCAGAGAAACATGCAGGTCCCAGGGAACATGTGGGTATTGGATGTGCTGCTCTGCTCAGACCAATTGGACATGCTTCAGGGAGTCCAGGGTCTGCCAGCTGCCTGGATTTGGCTTCCCAGCAGTCTATCAGATTAGAGGATGCAGGAGAGAGGTAGGCCATGTTACTGGTTAGAATCTAGCCAAGCTCAGAGCATCACCCAAACAGATTATATTTGACAAAGACATGAGGCCTGTGTGGTCCTTGCCTGTATTATGGTTGGTCTAGAAAAAAAGAGATGACCTTGACTTCCTACAGCATTTGGCCTCCAAAAATTGTGCTTGAGAAATTCAGAGATTTCTTGTAAGAATAAAGCTGGGCCCAAGTTCCAGCAGATCCTGAGAAGAAAGGTCAGGGACTCTGAGATATATCTGTATGTCCAGCTGGACCATGTTATCCACAAGTGGGGTGCAGGCCAAGCAGAAAGGATGCTCCTCCCACCTGCACATGCTGTGACTTGTTATGGGATACAGTACTGGGGCATGTAACTCCTGTATCCTCTCTGCCTCCTCTTCCCAGCATCTTACCAGATGGTGAGAGCCACTGAGAAATGAGGCATTCATAGTGATGGGTTACAGGGGGTCCAAGCCCTTAGTCCTGGTAGGAAGTTCTGGCCTGGTCCATCAGCCACTTCCCACAAGATTTTGCAAATTAATGCCTATGTAGCATCTGCTTCCCAGCAGTGCCTTTGTGCTGGCACCAGACAGGGCACCCAGGCACACAGCTGTAACTCTACACAGTGCATTTATTCCAGGCCAAATGTCTTTTCACTCCAGTTGCTTCTTCCCATCCTCCAAATTTCCCAATGCTTCTCTGAGAAGTGCTGCAAAGTCTAAGCCAGAAATGTGAAGGTTCCAAGCCCTGGATCTACACAGTCCTCTGGGACTTTTGCTCCTGGAGCCAAGCTCTCTAACTCAGCTGTTTCTGCCACTCAGCTTTTGTGTTCATGGCAAAGACCAGCAGATCAGGCCACTTTCTGACAGGGGAACCCAGAGACAGAGAAGCTTTGCACAGGCTCTGAAATATGTGTGTGTGAGGTGGAAGCTTGTCCATGAGCACCTCCCAACAAATTTTAGCTGAGTGAGAAACAGGAAGTCATTGACCCATTGCCCTGAGCCACCTGAAAGTGCAGAGCATTTGGAAGTCATTCATTAAAGGAGGTTCTGGAGACACAAATGCTCACAAATTTGTACTCGCAAACCTTCAGTGCTGCTCAGCATTGCATCCCCAATCTGAGACACAGGAGGCATTAGGGCACTTGTGGAGCAGCTTTCCAGAAATAAACAAAAGCTGCTTTGTCCACATCTCCCCTCCTGTGTTTCAATCTGCTCTGAGTTACTAGAGCCAAGAAATTAAAATATTCTGGGTCTGAGGCTTGGGATGAAACTACTGATGTGTCCAGCCCATGGCTCATGGAAAATTGAATCAGACTCTCAGGAGTTTGCATTCCCCTACTCCCCTGTACAACTGGGCACCATCACCAGCGCTGTCCTTGCCCCCTGGCAAGAGAGCGACCTGCAGAGGTGCAGGCACTGGACAGCCCAAAATCCCTACAGACATGACCCTGGTCTCTAAACCATTGTAATGCCTCTCCAGTCCAGATGATGCTGATAAAGCAGTAGTACCTGCATGTAATGTGCTTCCTTACGGCTGGGGCACTAATGGTGCTCAGCAAAGGCATGCAGCAATTAATGCATCTTCAGGCATTGCCCCCGCAATAAATCAATAGCTATTAAGGATAATTTATCCCATTTTTAAGTCACTCAGGTTTCCCCATTCTGAATCCTGATTTTGAATCACCAGTCTGTACTGCAACTTACTCAAATACAGTGCTTTACAGATAAGAAAGGATGTGGGTCCTTGGATGACTTTCACAGACACTCACATCAAGATGTGCTTTACCTGTTGTGTGCACATCTGCGAAAGTCCATCAAGAATCAGGCTTGAAGAGACCAGAGTATCAGAGTCAACACCTCTTGTGCCATGCCATGATTGTGGGAGAGCAGTAAAGTGAAAAAGGTGGTGAGATCAGAGAGGAGAGCTCTAAGAACCCTCCATCTGCCTCCTCCATCCCTCACGCCAACACAGCAGAGTCTCAGCAGGAGGAGACCAGGATTAATGGCACAACTATAAACACTCAGTCACAGATTGTGTGCTCTGTTGCAGTAAATCCCACAGTGGAGCTGTCCCTGTGTGGCCCTGGAGACAGGCACACCTGTGGTCTCCAGTGGATGAACACATTTGAATCGCTGTGAGGTGTTAGTGGAATTTTCAACAGGAGGCAAGTGAATATAGGAATCGCCAAGGACAGGAAGAGCAGACTCCCAAGGGATGCTCACAGAACCACTGAGCAGAACATGGGGCCTCTTTGGATAAGCCCCTAGCAATCCTTTCTAAGTGTCTCAGACATATGAATCCCTGTGCACAGGGAAGGAAAACCCACACAGGTAAAATCCACTTGTTCCCAGAAACAAAAATTGAAACAAGAATAGATAGACTTTGAAATGTCTCTAGTACCTTTACCTGCAGAGGGTTCTTTGTGCTTATGGCAATGACGTGATACTTGTAGTAACACAGCTCACAGCTCCAGCAGCCTCTCTCGCTAATCCATTTGATCAGACATGGCTGGTGCGTGCACTTCACAGATCCATCACATCGACACGGGCTCAGCAACTCCCCCTGAAAGAGACAGACACCATCAGTGAGGCTTCCCTCCTTCCACAGGCACGGCACAGCACAGCACACGTGGCACGGCATGGCAGAAGCTCCCACATCCACCATTTGAACTTCCTTTTTACATAGTTTGGCTCAGGCAATTGTGCTGCTTCCATCCCTTTTCCCTCTAATAATGCATGGCTGATGTGAACCAAGACTGTCAGGGATGTAATGGTCTCAGCTACTGGGGTCTTACTTGCCTTGTCACCACTGAAGGAAAACCTAGATGAGCACAACTTTTACCAGACTCCAGAGGACCTGACCACTGACCCCAAACAGTGGACACACCTCTGTTGGCAGCCACATGCCACTAGTTCTTTGCTCAGGTTTTTGTCTCTCTGCTGCCTGTTTTACAAAGTGAGGTTGGAGGTGGTAATAAATTGTGAGACAGTCTCTGCTGCAGACTCCTGCTCAGACCAGGGTAGCTTCCCGGAGCCCAGGCAGGCAAAAGGTCTTCAGATTTATCTCCACACCATCCACTTTCCCCAGACAGTCATACTGGTGAATTACAGGGATGGCTATTTGCACCCTAGAAGCAAGCAAGAGGAGAACAAATTGTGACCCAGCTGGTTATGAGTGGTGGCAGAAACACTGAACCTCCTGGCTCAGTCCCTTGTTTCTGGTGTAGCTTTTAACAGGGTATCCACGAAGACACCGTATTATTCAGATCCATCTTCTGTCATCCTGTTCACCATGGGACTAAATTCCTCTCTGCACACAAGCTCAGGAGCTCTTTACAGTTGTTTGCCATTGCTTATTCAGGTTAGGAGAGAGACATTACATTTTACTCTTCCCTGTTTAGTGTTTAAAAGCCATAGTAAAGATTCCAATAGTGTATTTAGCTGTGCTCCAAGATTAAAAAGGTTTTAAAGGCAGAATAAGAATATCTATGGGACAGAGAAGGTTGAATCATACTTTCAGCACTGGGGAGAAGATATTTGCTCTTACAGCCCAGATCAGCCTCATCACTAGCCTGATGGAGCACCAGGATAATGGACCCTGGCACTGGACACTGCTGGATATGGTAAAAGACATCCATTCCAACTGCCTCGGGTTATGCACCAGATCCTGTTCTTGCTAACCCTGGTGGGAAACTGTCTCAGCTTCTAGGTCACTACATCAGGTCTCAGGACCTGAGGAACTGAGGACCCCACTGGGCAAGAGAGATACTTCTATTTTACAAAACCTAATGCGAACACGTGAATCATTTCATTTGTTTCAGCTAGGTGACCTAAAAATGTCATCTTTCATGAAATTTTAGAGAAACTGTAAATAATAGTTTATGTTACAAACGCAGCCTTGTTACTGGTTTTCATTACATATTGTAGGAGATACAAAGGGAGAGGGAGAGCAAGGAGGGTTGTAGGCTCCATGAACCTTTTCCACCTGCAAAGGGGTGACATGACAAGCCAGAAGAAGGGAAGCAGGGAAGGATTAGATGGGAGAAAGGTGCACGTGGGAATGAGCACTGACATTTAGCAAACTCCCCATGTGAGGTCCAATTTGAGGGGCTGTGCATGTTTGTGCCTTGGCTGAGACTGGGGTGAGACACTGCCAGTGTGATAAGGAGTAGCAGGCACTGTCCGACAGGATGCAAAAGGGGAGGGACCAGAATTTGGCATGACTCCTCTGTTTTCCTGGCTCACCAAACCTCTTCCACACCAAGAGCCAGCCTGGTACATGGACCACTGCTCTGTGCCTTTGGTCTGCCCTTCTCATCTCAGCCTTATTTTCTCAACAGTTTCACTCCTCAGCACACAAGTGCGGCCCTAGCACTAAGGAGGTCATGCAGAAACCTCCCAGATCTGCAGCATCCCTGCCTTTCCACCTCACTGCACACCAGGGTCTCTCTTGCAGGGCTCAAAATGGTGAGTACAGGACCTGGGCTTTGTCTAATGAGCAGCTGGAGGCATCGATGATGAGGGATCAGAAATGGAGCAGAATGGAGCAGGAACTAAGAGCAACAACCTCCAGGCAAAGGCAGAGGGGAAAAGCTGTAGCTACAGCCTGGACTTGCACTGGCTTCTGGGGCTCTGTAACAAATGAGTCTATGAAATCTGAGCTTCTCTCTTCAGAGCCAAGAGATGTTCACAGATGTCCTACAGCACCATGGGGACCCAGTCTCCCTCCCTAACTGGGATGCTCAAACACACAGTCTTGCCAGCTCCTACAACCTCAGGATTCAACCGTGGAGATGAGTCCCCCAGTAACTTGATTTTAGCAAATGTAGCAAAAACTCAATTTATCACATTTTCTCCAACCGTCTGAAATATTACATCCTTGTATGTGGCACACAGCTATTTTTGCATACTGTGAAGCCCAATTCTGTCCCCAGCAGGCATTTGTAAAAACACTGCCACATGCACACACGCTCACATGCAGTCCTGTACCAGCAGAAAAACAAACACAGGGGGCATATTAAAGGAATACATCCTTTGTACAGCAAAGGAGAAGGAGTCTCATTGCTGGCTGTACAGAGAGCTGAGGAACAGACCATTGGCTGTGATACGCAAGAAGGTTCTGCTGTACAGAGTCCTCTTCTGCTAAAAGCTACAGGAACACAAAAGCAAACCCAAAGTGAGACACAAATCACAACTATTAGAGATGGAAATGAAATCCCTAACACACATTTTTGCAGGTTTGTAGAAGATGGGTCTGCACAACATATTCTCCAGTGCTTGAACAGCAGTATTCCCACCAATTCCCTTTGGGGACTGCTCTCCAAAACCCTTTGAAGGGTCTATTTCCCTACTTCACAACATTTATTTTTGCAATTTCCCATGGTAGAGTTATATCCCATCACTGAGATGAGTCTAAGCAGCATTTTTCCTTTGTCAGTAATTCATGGAGAAATGCTCCCCAACAGCAAGCTTCCTCCTCAGCTTGCTCACTACCACTACACTAGTTCTTGTTCTTCTGAAACACTCAAGTGTGCTTTGGAGTCAGGGCTGCCTTTAATTTTTTCTGTTATCCAAGTCTAAATTAGAAAAAAACAGAGTTAAAAAAAAGGAAAGGGTGCTCTGTCTCAGCCACAACCATTTCAATATATGCATGAAATACTCTTCCTTATTTCTGGAAAGAGTAATATCCTAAGCAATGATATATAACATTCTTCCCTGTTTATCACTGTGATGGGAGCTTGTCTCGAGGAGCAGCAAGGGCAAGGCCAAGCTGAACTGGCTTTACCCTGAGGAGGACAATACTGCAGGAGATGAACCAGTAGTGCAGGTCTGCTCCAGCTCTGTCCTTCTGCTCTGGACTCCCAATCTGTACCCGCTGCAGTACGTCAAAGTGGCTAATGATTATCTGGCCCCTGCTATTTAAAGCCTACTGGGAGGAGTGCTGAGAAAGGATGGAAAAAAAGAAGAAGATTATTGCCGGCGTGTTTGTGGTGCTCGGTATATCCAGGGAGAAAATAACCACGTCAGGAGCAGCGTCACCCCTGTTGAGTGCTGGTGGCAGTGTTTTGCCTGGCTTTTATCTGTCATTTATCAGTGCTGGGAGCCCATCTGCACACTGCTACCACAGCTGCAGCTGCTCACCCACCAGCAGGCAGACATGGGATGTGTTCCCCAGACCTGTTCTTTTAACTGCAAATTAAGTACAGCAAATTTGCCCACCCAGTCTCCTTTAAAGAGGGCAGGGCTGGGAATGACAGTGTTGCAGGGCCAGGATGTGGTTGGTCTTCTTGGCTGGCCCAGCTGTGCTGACCTATGTCTGGTGCCTGGGCTGCTCCTGAGCACCAGTTCACCTGGGAAGAGCCATGTTACCAACATCCTGTTATCAAAACATTTTGAAAGCCAGTGCAAACTGTACAGAAAACCAAGATAGCTGATGGTGATCTTAAGACCTGCATTTTTTCTTCCACCTGTTCATTCCCTGCTCAGGTATGCAAAGTAGCACCAGTCACAGGAGCAGTGCCCTGAGTAAGAGCAGGTGAATGAGAAGATGCTGAAGGAGTTGTCCCATCACAAGGGCTGCCATCTCTCTCTGGGGGTGTACATGCAGCTGCTGCTGCTCACAGATCTGCATGCATGCATCTGAGACTGCTGGCATTTATCTGAGTTTGTCTTGTTTGCAGGAGGAAGCCAGGGTCATTTAATTTCAGGTCTTCAGCTGCGCCTCCTAAATATACTTAAATCTCCACATTGAGTTTAAATGCAATGGGAAGTTTTACTACAGCAAATAAATTCCAAATGATTTCTATATTAGGAACATAATTACAGACAAATTAAGTCAAATGGCAAAGAGAATCCCATTGTTACAGAGCTGGTAAACTTCAATAAACATGTACTAATGACCACTCTGTCTTCACACACTTATAAGAGTTGCCCTTCTATCCTTTTGAACTAAACACATGTGACTACCAGCATCTCAAATGCTTCCCCATGCATGCAAGCACTGTGCCAGCCAGCAGCAGGCAACAGGGGACATGGAATGTCCCTTGTATGTGTATGTGTGTATATATATGTATCACACTGCATGAAATTCTCCAGCACAGGGGGAAATTGGCACAGAGTGTGGACCCAGACAGGAGTGGACCTAGGTGTCCTGTGGTGTCAGGACAGCACAGGACATGGTTATGAATGGGGCTCTGGTGAGATGGCATTTCGCCAGGCACCCCAGCAGAACTGGGTACTGATCCCAATCTCCATCTTGGTAGAAATCTGCTGAGAGACTTTTCTTGACCCAGCTGGGGGAATACCCCAACTGGGAACCTCCCTAAAATCTGGAGAGCCTATAGGAAAATCTATGCAAGTGATTAGAAAAAGAAATCCTGCCATGTCTGTGATCAGAATTGGCTCATCCCACAGCTCCCCCACAAGACCTGATACCCCCGTGGCATGCAGAAACAGCACTGCCCATGGCAGGCAAGATCTGTGTGCCCTGGGGTGCTATGAGTACCCCCATCCCAACATCAAGACAAAATGCAGCCCCATAAAGTAGAAAAATCCAGCTCTGGA